AGTCCTGGCAGCTCCAGTACCCCCGGTACGAGCACGTCCAGAACCAGAAACACCAGTGCTCCCAGCGTCTCCACGACCACTAGCTCCAGCAGCTCGAGCAGCAGAAAGAGGAAGACCCAGAGGAACACCAGCCGACTCAGCACCCCCGGACCCGGTACCCTCTGGCTCAGCACCCCCAGGCTCCGCACCCCCAGACGCAGGACCCCGAGCAACACCGCCCCAAGCAGCACCAGAGGCAACCGGAGCCGGCCGCAGAGGCGACGAAGACGGTCGAGGTGGAAAACCCGGAGGGGTCGCCAAGCGTGGTGAGCGGCGGGGAGGCACCGCGGGGCCTCCAACTCCAGGATCGACAGCGCTAGCTCCAGGGCCTCCAACCCAAGTACCTCCGGCAGCAGCACCCCCATCAGCAGGACCTCCAGCCCCAGCAGCACGACCTGTAGAAACTCCAGCTGACTCAGCACCCCCCGACCCGGCACCCTCCAGCTCAGCACCCTCAGGCTCCGCACTCGTAGGCTCAGCACCCCCAGGCTCCACACCTCCCAGCTCCTCACGCACTGGCTCAGCAGCCCCAGACGCAGCACCCCAAGTAGCACCACCCCCAGGAGCACCAGAGTCAACAGTAGTCGACTGCAGAGGCGGCGAAGAAGGTCGCGGCGGGAAACCCGGAGGGGTCTCCAAATGTGGTGTGCGGCGGTAAGCCTCCGGGGCGTCAGCAGCAACGTCACCCCCCTCAGCTGGGCCAGAGGTGTCGGAAGTGACCTCCAAAGGCTCAGCCAAGGGAAGTGGGTCTACCTGAGACACACCTGAAGGAGCGAGACCCTAAGGGGGGGAGGGGGAGGGAGAGGGGCAGTGCGGTAGGGGAAGAGACGGTAGAAAGGAACCGACTCGTCAAAGGTGACGTCCTGAGAGGGGAAGACACAGCGCGAGGTGGGGTGGTAAAACTGCCAGCCAGACGCGTCAGGGACAAAGCCAAGGAAGACACAGGGAATGGTGCGAGAGGAGAGCTTGTCCGCGGACGTATCGCGGACAAGGGCACGAGCACCCCAGACTCGGAAACGCGACGCATCGCCAACCTCTCCCGTCCAACGCAGTGTGGGCGAGGTGTCTGGCAAGGAGACACGGGGCCAGAGGTTGAGCTGATGCGCTGCGTACCGGACCGCAAACGGCCATAGAAAATGGGGAGCCGCTGCATGGATCAAGGAGGTACGAGCGATCTCCATGACCAAGCCAATGCGGCGCTCAGCAATCCCATTTTGCTGCGGTGAGCCCGGAAGCGTGAACGACTGCTCGATGCCCTCCCTCTGACAGAAGGCCCGCAAGAGGTCGGAGGTGAACTCACCACCTCTGTCAGAGTGCAAACGCAGGACAGGAAGGCAAGTCCGGAACCTCCGGCGGAGCTGGAGACGAACTACGCGGATCCAAGGGATCAAGACAGCAGGGATATCACCCTTGGTGCGCAAGGGGAAGACCGTGGTGTAACGCGAGTAGTCGTCGACAACCAGCAGAAAGTACCGCTCACCGCCCTGTCCACGAACGCGGGCTGGGCCCCACACGTCCAGGTGGAGGGTCTGCAGGGGAGCCTCTGTCGGGGGAAACGAGGAGGAGTGAGGAGCAGCGCGCTGCCGCCCCTCGACGCAAGGAAGGCAGGGCGGCGCAGGCGAGGCAGGGAGGGGAGGGAGAGACCTGGGAAGACCAGACACAAGGAGGCGACGGTGCATGCCACGTAGACGTGGCAAGGAGGGGTGACTCAGACGATGGTGCCAGAGAAGAGTCTGGTGCGACAGGGAGCGACACTCACAAGGGGAGGCTACCAAACCTGACGCAGACACCTGACCGACAGCAGCGACCTGAGGAGACACAGTCGTCAGTGTGTAGAGACTCGACCCTGGCCGACGGGTGAACGTGGCCAGGTGACGGCCAGTCTGTGCACACGTGCAGATCGCCACACGCTGCCATGCAGGGGTGAAGGTATTAACCCCCACATCCTGAAGGGCAGCGTTGCTCACCAAGTTCGTAGAGAACGAGGGGATGTGGAGACCTGACAGTGAGCCAGACGGAACCGCCGGGCACGGAAGCACAGTGGTGGACCGTGCAAGGACTGGGCCCCCTGAGGGGTCAGCCAGAGGGGCCCCCTGGCGCAGGGCAGGGCGCTGGCGCAGGGCAGGGCGTGCGTGAAACAGCGCGACGCAGGGTAGTAGGGTAACGTGGTAACCGCAGTCGGTCGCTAAATATGGTGGGCCCGGAAAAAAAAAAAAGAACGGTCCTATGGACCTACTGCTCTGATGCCATGTCAAGATAGCAAGTAGGAATGGATGAACTAGCAGTATGATAAGTACAAGTAGGAAACCCTAATTTGGGTTGTACCCCATATGGGCTACCCCACTACAGCCTACACAACAAGCAGCATATAGAAGCGCCCCTGGGGTTGTAATAAAACACTGTTTTTTAGGGGGTGCGCTTATAATTGAGGAAATTTATAAGCGCCGGCGTTTATATAACGGCAAAATGAAAGTTTCTTTTTTAACACCAAACTGTGGATTTCGTTCTCAGTAATCGAGTCGAAAATATATGGGGTCGCGAATTTGACTCTCGAGCAACTTGGCAGGGATTGATTCCCTGCCAACGCATGCAGACTAAGCGACAGCGCGTGCTGACTAGACGCGCAGCAAGTGTGATGTGAGTGGGAAAGTGGAACTGTACTTCGCTTCCCTGGTAAGGTGAAATTAGTTTCTATGTCATTCTAATTTTAAGATAATATTCGACATGCGCTTATAATAAATCATAAATTTTTAGGGGGTGCGCTTATAATCGAGGACCGGATATAAGCGCCCTCATCCCTTTATAAGCGCCGGCGCTTATCCGAGGCCTGCGCTTCTATCCGGGGTATGACGGTATGTTTGACATATACAGCACATGCTTCACTTCAATCTTATCACCTGTGACTCTGAACCACGCCTGCACGAAGCAACTCTCGGCGGGCCCTTTCGCCAACCTTGCTTCCTTCCACCTTCAAATCATGCAGCTTTGGGAAGCTTCCCAGAAGCCCTCCAATGCAATCTGCCATAATTGCATCACACTCAAGCATGGTCAGCGTGAGCATCTCCAATCTGCTTCTTGCAACAACCCGGTCTGAAAAGTCCTCACTGTGTTCCATGGTTAGGGCCACCAGCATGGGGCAAGCACGCAGCAGCAGCACCAGCTGCTCCTCCTTCAGCCCGAAGCACGACACCAGTGTGAGGCGCTTCAGCCGCCCAAAAGCAGCAGCGAGTGCAACGGATAGAAATGACTGCGGCTGAGGGCTTGGGCTTGACATGGCAGAGGGAGAGAAGCGAGAAGTGGGGCGGGAAGAGGAAGAAGAAGAGGGAAGGGATGCAGGAGCGGAAGAGAGGCACATGAGAGGCGAGTCAGACGGAAGGGATGGAGGCAGCCAGGTAGGCTTGGGAGTGCAGATGAAGTGAAAGGCCTGTAGGGTCAAGGAGTGTAAGGGAGGGCAGAACACCTCCACAGGAATCCCACCAGAGAAGCCACTCGCTTTGCCTCCAAGATTTTGTGCCCTTCTGCTGCTGCCCATTGAATTCCTTTTGCCACTGTTTTTTCTGCAGCCTGACTGTCCTCCCTCCCTTGAGACTGTATTCCCTTGCATTAGCTCCCCTTGCATCCCTCTTTCTTGTGGATGTGATATTCCTCCTACCGTTTGCTCCACTATTGCGGCTGCATCCCCCATAACTGCTGCTCCATCTGCTGGTGCTGCTTCTGTGGCCGCAGCACTCGCACCAGCAGCAGCAGCAGCAAAGCCCGCAGTACCCACACCAGCAACATCAGCAGCACCACCAGCCGCATCAGTAGCGGCATCAGCAGCATCAGCATCAGCAGCATCAGCATCAGCATCAGCAGCAGCATCAGCATCAGCATCAGCAGCAGCATCAGCATCAGCATCAGCAGCAGCATCAGCATCAGCAGCATCAGCTGTTTCACGAGGCATGCGCATGGTCCTGAGGCTCTCAGTCGCCGCATTGCCATGCTCGTAAAACTGCAGCAGCAGCGACTCCATCACACCCAACGCCTGTGCCTGCGGGTCAACCCCAGCAGCAACCCCCCCAATCTCACCCTCCTCCTCACTCCCTTCAGCCCATTGAGCCCCATCAGCACCATCAACAGGCAAGTCATCATCCAGCAGCATCCCATCAAAGTCTTCCAGACGAGCCAACCCCCCTTCGCCCTCAACTACCCTGCTCTGCATGTCCACAAACACACCCGCAGTCGTGGCAGCAGCAAACGCCTCACTCAGTGCATCCTCCCGCTCTGTCGCCGCAATTTTCTGCGACGCTGCCACTCGCAGCGCGCGCCACGTGGAGATGCCCGCCCTGATCTTACCAATGGCGTACTTGATCGCCGACACCGCATCTTGGCGCTGCGCCCGCGCCAGGCGAGCCCAGTGAGCAGCGGAAGGCACGGCTGTGTGTCAATCCTGGGCCATATCCAAGAGAGTGACCACGTCTAGACTTGACTCTATCAGGTCCGCTCGGGCTGCTGCTGCCGCCGTTCGAACGTCCACGTATACTCTCCTTCCTCCACTTCTAGGGTTAACTGCTCGTGCTTCTGCCGCAGGCCCTGCTGCTCCTACTCTTGCTAGTACGGCATCAGCAGTAATAGTAGCTTCACTCGCTCCCTTCCCCCTGCCAACATCTTCTGCTTCACACTCCTCCCCTCTACCCCCCTCTCCAACCACCCCTCCTTCCTCCCCTCCATCCCTTTCTACCTCCCATCCAACCTCCCCTCCCTCTCCTCCCCTCTGCACCACGCGCACCAGCAGACACACGAAACTCTCAAATGACACGTGTTGATGCATCATGGTCCCTCCCCCTTCCTCTTCTCCTTCCCTCTCTCCTCCTCCAATCCCTTCTCCACTCCGACTCTCAGCATCCCTCCCAGTCGGCGCTGCGGGCTTTTCGGGCATTCCTTTCAGCGTGAGGGAGTGCAAGGCACTGCAGTGCGCCAGCATGCCGGGGCGGAAGGACGGCAGCCGTGAGAGGTCGAGCGCGTGCAGGCGGGGCGAGGAGAGGCGGAGGAGAGCGCGCAAGGGCGGGGCGGTGAAGAGGCGGGAGGTGGTGCCGTGGAGGGCGAGGGAGGCGAGCGCCGGGTTGGCTTGGACCAGCGCTAAGAGGGCATGGCTGGAGACCCAGGGGCTGTCGTGGAGGGCGAGGTGCGTGAGCGTGTGGAGGGAGCGAGCGAGGGCGTGCAGCTCGAAAGGGTCGATGGTGCAGGCGAGGAAGGAGAGAGAAGTGAGGCGAGGGAAGGACGCGAGGGGCGCGAGGCAGGACTGGAGCTTGGCGGAGCGGAGGGTGAGCGACTTGAGGGAGTGGCAGAGGAGGAGGAGGAGGAGGAGGAGGAGGAGGAGGAGGAGGAGGAGGAGGAGGAGGAGGAGGAGGAGGAGGAGGAGGAGGAGGAGGAGGAGGAGGAGGAGGAGGAGGAGGAGGAGGAGGAGGAGGAGGAGGCGAGGGAGGAGAGGGTGGAGGGAAGGGGGTTCCAGAGTGTGAGGGAGGTGAGGGAGGAGCAGCGCGTGAGGGGGTTTAGTTTCGAGGCAGTGATGAGGAGAGCGAAGGAGTGAAGAGCAGGGAAGGCGTGGATGGGAGGGAGGGGGGTGCCAGTGGAATGTCGGTAGATGATGGGGCGGCGGGCGAACGGCGAGTCGAGCTCCAGCGATGCCAAGAGGCTGATGGGTGGGAGGCGAGGGCATGGGAGGGAGACCAGGGGAAGGAGGGAAGGGGAAAGAGGGAAGGGAAAAATTAGGAGGGAAGAGGAGAGGAACAGGAGAAAACAAGCTATGAGCTCTAAAACGAGTGACGGCATTGGGGTGTTGAGGAGAGGAGGGAGGGTAGGGGGAAGAGGGAAATCAAAGGTAATTCCGTTGTGAGCTTGAATGGTCGATCGTGTGACTCATTATAAGAACGAGCTTGAGTCAAGAGTCAATAGCGAGGACGAGAATTGCAGCTCACGGGCATTGCTGGGCGAGCTTCGTCCACGCAGCAGCGTTCATGTGGAAGTCCCCCCATTTCGCCACGAGCTTCAACTTTTCCAGTTTCGGGCAGCTCGCGCCAATACTTGCCAGCAGCTCACTTCCCCGTATCGAGCAAACCTCCACGTTCAGTGAGATGATGTGGGTAAATACCCTCGAAAAATTTGTCGAAAGCTTTGAGAAAGCTGCGCACGTTGCGATACTGATAACGTGAGATGAAGAAGAAATTGAGCGAGTGGGGCGTGCGGCGGGAGAGGCGGCGGAGGTGGGAGCAGGAGAGAGCGACGCTGCAGCGATCGCAGGGGTGGTTCACCCGGGCGAGCAGCAGCAGAAGGAGCTCGTCCGGGAGCGACAGCAGGCGACCGTCTTTCGTTTCATCCTTTAACGACGTTTTCCGGCGCGTTCGATTCATAGTCGCGAACTAGTTCGGCGAAGGGTATGGTTAGGGTTCCGCTGTGAACCGACTTCAGCAAATGGGGGCGTCCTGATGAGGTGCAAGAACAGACGAACAGGTGGCAATGACGGAAGTCGTCGAAACAAGCAAGCCACTAACGCGCGCGCCGCATCTTAAAAATGGGGGGTTTGAAAACCTCACGTGAAGCTACTTTTGAGTAACTACTGATTAGGAGGAGGTACTAATGGGAGGGAAGTAAGTGCGCTAGGTTTGGTTTCGGCATTTTTGAATTATCTCGGGAGCAACTTTGTGGCAGAATTGGCCTGCTGTAAGGGCGTGTTACATTTTATTGAACTGTGCATCCGGACGCAGACTGTCGGGACAATTGTAGGGTAACCCATTCCGTCTAGCATTGTATTCCATCACCTCTTTACTTTTGGACAAATTTCGGTACCGGACGGCTCTAAGGGCGTGTTACATTTTTTTAAATCACATCAGTCCAGACGTACGCGCGACGGACGTCCGAACGCTTGCGAGTCTGACGACATCGTATGTCTGCTTCGCGGCATGGTCCTGAGGGCGTCCCATGAGTTCATTTGGGAGGAAAATTATAAATTTTACGTAACTTCGACAAAGCAAAAGAGTGTACACTCTGTCGTGAAAAACACGCAGCGGGTCAGCACAGCGCCATACAAAATTGACCCACGCGGACTTATAATAGCCCTACCTACATGAAATTCGTAATCCGAAAATTGACCACGAGCGGTTACCCGCCACAGTGCGAATTAATGGTGCCCCGTGCGAATATCACTTTTGATTTCGCGCAACTGAATGTGCGCGAATTTTCAGATTGGGGTAACGGAATGGAGGACCGGGTACGAGGTGAACGTGGGGTAGTACGAACCTCTAGACGTCATAGGCGTCTCATCAGTTGCGTCATTGAAGACGCATGTCATGCAGGGAAGGGTTACAGACTGGAAATAGGGTTACAGCCGTGAACTTGAACTGTAAAGGAACTCATGGAGCACGCCCTGAATGGCGGTTCGGACAAAAGCTCGTTTGGATACAATGGTGTCACGATTTTCGTGTTTCCGAATTTGAAACTACCCTAACGTCTTCAAAAGATCCATGACGTCGTTACATGATTCACGACAAGGCGGCTCGAGTTTCCCTTTTTGTGGAGTTGTTCGCGCGCTAATGAATGCAAAGTAATGTGCGTTTGCTTTCAGAGTTGTTACGGTTCCAGATTCCGAAACTTTGAAATATAGAAAAAGTTACGGGTTTTTATACGGGCCGTCACAAAAAAAATCGGAGTTATCACGAGCAGTCACATGTTCCGCCAAATCTATCACGTACAGTCACATGTTCCGCCAAATCTATCACGAACCATCACACGGGTATCACCCGCTGTGAGGATCTAGGATCGAGCTCAGAAAAGATGATTTGAATTGAATGATCACCTGGGTACAACACGAGGCTATATATAGGCTCGACACAAGGCAGGTAACCCAGGTGTTACGCGAATGTTCCGAGGGTCGCGAAGCGTCCCGAACAGAACCTTCCCGAACTCGGTAGAAAGCAATTCGGTGGCAACCGAATAGCTTGAGTTCGGTACACGTAACCTGGTTCGGTGCCTATAACTATAATAACTATAGTAAAGCAACGAACCTAGGAAATCAAGCAATTCATGCATGCAGAAAATAAACCTAAGCTAGGAATAGCGTAAGGAAATAATAGCAAGCATGAATAACAAGCATAAGCCGTCGTAATCTCAGACCCGCCGTCACTCAAAGGCACTAATTTCTATCACGGATAGTCACACCCGAAATTTTGCTATCACAGATGAACCCTCTCATCATTTCGTTGACCCGCCTTGAAACACTGTACAGATTCAGAAACTAATAATCTCATGCCAGCCTATCTCCTCAGAATTTAAACACAGAGGCATTGTATCACAAGGGATTAGGAAACCATGTTGCACAAACCATGCTTTCTACTGCGAATTTCACATCTAGTCAAGCATTGCGGATCTGTTGAGTGTTTTCTTTAGGAAATGTGCACAACATGAATACGCTACCGGTGTTACGGTATCCTAAAAATGATGCAAGCACTGCACTGCATTGTTTAGACATTAATTTAAGGTTTCTAACATTTAAATAGTTTGCCAGCCACTGTATGAACCTGTTTGATGGACACGCGGGTGCCCACAGTGGACGATTCACTGCGAGTGGTGGCGATGATGATCTTGCTTCTGCTGCCATAACCACACCCCTTTTTGGCTGATCCACACCCACCCCCTTTTCTTGCTGCCCCTTAACCAGGGCTTGTCCTCCATGATGCTCCACACCCACTCCTTTCCTGCTCCATCCCCACTCCTCTATTGCTTTCAATTCCCACTACTCTCCCTTTCAGCCCCATACAAACTTGCAGCTCCACACATGTACCCCTCCATTACTGGTCTATACCCCCTCTCCTCGTTTTCTGATCCATTGCAACTCCTCCCCCTTGCTGCTCCACACCTACACCTCTCCTTGAGTGCCCAATACCCACTCCTCCCCCTTCGTGCCCACACCGACTCCACTTCCTTGCTGCTCCCTACCCACCCACTCCCTTGCAGCAACCCGCCCACTCCTCACCCTTTCTGCTCCACACCTGTGCCGTTCCGTGTAGCCACAAACCCACTCCTCACTTCTGATGCTCCACACCTGTTTCCCTCACTTGCTCATGTGCACCCACTCCCCTCCCGACTACAGGGCGTGTCTGCTCCATACCCACTCCCCCACCTTGATGGTCACCACTTTCATCCCACCAGAGCTACTGCATTCCCACAAACCTGTAGCGATCCATATCCACTTCCCCGCCTGGCTGCATCATTCCAACACCCCTCCATAGCTGTCCCAAGCCCAGTCCACTCTCTTGCAGCCCCATCATCCCTACCGTCCCTTGCCGTCCCATAGTCACCCCACTCCCTTGCTGCCCCCTCCCTGTCTGGCCTATAGTCACCCCACCCGAATTCTGCTGCATAGCAACTCCTCTCCCTAACTGCACCAATCCTGGCTGCACCGTAACTCCTCTCCCTGACTGCCCCACACCCACACTTGTCCCTGGCTGCCCCACACCCACACTTGTCCCTGACTGCCCCACACCCACACTTGTCCCTGGCTGCCCCACACCCACACTTGTCCCTGGCTGCCCCACACCCACTCCTCTCCCTTGCTGCCCCACACCCACTCCTCTCCCTTGCTGCCCCACACCCACTCCTCTCCCTTGCTGCCCCACACCCATTCCTCTCCCTTGCTTCCCCACACCCACTCCTCTCCCTTGCTGCCCCACACCCACTCCTCGCCCTTGCTGCCCCACACCCACTCCTCTCCCTTGCTGCCCCACACCCTCTCCTCTCCCTTGCTGCCCCGCACCCACTCCTCTCCCTTCCTGCCCCACACCCACTCCTCTCCCTTGCTGCCCCACACCCTCTCCTCTCCCTTGCTGCCCCACACCCACTCCTCTCCCTTGCTGCCGAACACCTCTCGCCGGTCCCTGCCTGCCATTGCCTCTCCCAGCACGCTCTCCAGCTTCGCTGCTCCCCCTACCCCGTCTGCTAGTTCCTCTACTTCGTGGCATCAATGATCCCTCCTCCTGCGGGTCCATGCCACTCCTCTCCATGCTGCTAGGGTCGACAACTTCCCTCTGAATATATAGACACTGCAACCGGCTCAACCTCCTAGCGGCGACGGACTCCCTAGACCCCCTCCCATGCGTCACAGCAGAACCAACGATGTCATCCCTGCAAGGCACCCCAGAGCCAACTGCATCCATTTCTACTGCAGCCGAACTTTCCTGAGTTCCCACTTGCACAAAATTAGGGGACTCTTCAACAACAGGTTGTTGAGCTTGGCCCTGGATGCCCTCGGGGGTCGTGGCAGTAGCTTGTGCATCTGTTTCTAGCCCTGCGTGTGACCGAGTGAAGATCTCATGCGCCATGCTACCACCCTCACCATTGTCTTCATCCGAGGAATCATCACACACCTCATCAGTGATATCCTCAAGTTCCTCACCAGAGGAGCCCTCCCCATCATCATCTTGTCCCGTCCCCTCACACCTCAACGGCTTACAGATCACCTCCCTGCCATGTCGTCCTCCGCACGCCCTACATGAGATCGTGCGGACGGTCCCATCAACGCATGTCACCGTTTGGGCA